TGCACAAACCTTGTCACCAACTATAAAAACCGTTTGACATCTGTGCTGGCCAATAATGGCTTTTCTACAAAATATTAACATGCTGTTTGTCCAGGGGGTCAAATACTTGTTTTTCCTCATCAGATTGTTATCAATTTTAATAAATTCATATGATGTGATTTTCTGGAATTTTCTTTGGGATTCTGTCTTTCACTGTTAAAATACATAATTAAAATTATAGATCGTTGCATTCTTTGTAAGTGGGCAAACCTGCAAAATCAGCAAGGGGTCAAATACTTATTTCCCCACTGTAAAAGAATAAGCATAAGTTGTGCAATTCAATATGTCACAAAGTTTGAATGTGATAAATTACTTTATGTACTTGTTTCTGTAGTACTGTAACTCTGTTAGACTCTTATTTATGTAGTTTCTTTTGGACCTCTAAAAAATGTTATCTGACAAAAGCTTAAATTAAACCGGGCCTGGACTTTGACTCAAACCAGTCCTTCTTTCCTGTGCTCTGTCTCCAGTTACACTTTCATAACACAAACATTTAACAGTTAAGCCTGATTTATAGTTCTGCGTCCAGTCTACGGCGTAAGCTACGCACGTTTCCACACATTCGTACTTGTGCATTGGTGTCTGCGTTGTTCTGCAATTACACCGCCAAAACGCTAGTTAGCAGTAGCGTTACAGCGTCCAGTGGGTTGATGTTTGCTAACTTCCAGTTTAGCCCTCTGCTAACTTTAATAGTAATCGTGCAACTCTTGTAGACTGAATGAAGTCTTTCGTTGTACTTAATAATTCTGGCCTCATACATTTTTACATTGAGCGCATTAAGGGACAAAAATCTCCGCTCTAAACACTGCCATAAAATTATTTATATTATTATTTTCCACTTTCACTGTGTTAAATCTTTTAACCAACATCAGCCCTCATCATAATACCAAATTTTATTTTTATTTTAACCCCTTAAATGCCATTTGTTTACATGATGCCAATGTTTTGATTGATGGAAAAAAACTAAGAATTTTTAAAAACTTTGTATACTACATGCAAAGTGGATTTCTTGGGAAGGAATTATCACAGCCTGGTATACGTCCATGATTAGCAGCAACATTGATTTTTACGCATTTTAATTTTTTGTGTTATGCCAGATTAAAAGAAATAACCACAACATATTGCAAACATTTTCCTGATTTCCACTAGGTGACTTTAACCGTGCCTGTCTCCATACACATCAAAATTTGCTCTAGAAATAAAGCAAAACTACAAGATCACCATGAATATGAATTTTTATTTTTCTAAATTATATAAACACATCAAAACTTCATAAAGACTTCATATCAAAACTTAATGTAAAAACCGAATCTTTATATCAAAAACTATACATACACAAAACCTTTCAACACCTAAACTTTCAGCAATACCAACAACTTTAGAAAACATATCACACTTCAGAATACTTCAGAATACACAGGCGTGGTGTAGGAATGAGAGGGTGTGTGGATGGAGGGGGTGTTCAGCTGCAGAATGGGAAGGCATGCCTACAAATGTAAGCGCCACATTCTGTGCAGGTGGTCGAAATGTTTCTTTTTTGTCTGCGCAGCAACAGCACGCCCTCCTCCTCTTGCGGGTGTCTGCAGCCCCACTTGCTTTTGCCTTTTCAGCAATCTGCTGCGATTTCACCATGGCTGCAGCAGCTGGTGTGCGGGGGAGGCGCCCTCTCCTCTGCATCCGGGGATACACCAGCATCCTCCCCAGCTCCTCCAGGAACAGCCTCCTTTTGACACTTTGGTCCCGGCTCCTGACCCTTCCTGGAACCAGGACAAAGGCGTTGAAAGCCGACACATCTATGAGATTATAGAAGAGCGCCATTGGCCACCGATGTTTTCCTCTTGCAGCTGTATGCGTCAACAGCCTGCAAAATAACAAAAGACCAAGGAAAAAATACGTATAAAACGTTGTAAAAATACGACAGAAAAAAAAAAATTATAAAATGACTAAATAGATAAATAGGCATATATTTTAGAAAAGCACACAAATAAATGTGCATATAAAATAAATGTGTGAGTTACTGTTGCTAAAAGCACAAACCTTATCCAGGTTGTCCACAGCTCCTTTGCATCCTGGGCTTCTGGTGCTCCCCTCCACTCACCGCAGGCTCGCGGTGCTCAGCAAAAACACGTTTCTCCCTCGTTTGGGCACATAAGACTCGGCCGTTGTGATCTGATCTGGGCGCTCGCTCTCTAGTTTGGAGGAGGTGTGGAGGAAGCTCAGGGTTGTTCTTCCTAATTGTTCCAACCAGAGCGAGTTTTTCCTTCAGCAGCTCCTCTGCCAGCGCATGAGAGGTGAAGAAATAGTCTGTGGTGACAGTGCGTCCCTCCAGCCCCACAACTCTCTGTTCCAGTATAGATCTGCATTTTCCATGCATCTGAGGTGGAGACATCACTTGTGACCCAGATTTTTATTCCATATTTGGCAGGTTTACACGACATGTACTGCCTGAATTTGCAGCGGCCACGGAACCCGACCAGCTGCTCGTCTACACAGACGTCCACCCCGGGGTTAAAGAGAAGGGGGAGGCGGTGCAGCCACTTCTCCCAGATGGGCCTGAACGCTGCGAGCTTGTCATCCCGGTAAAGTCCAGGTCGGGTCAAATCTTACATTTGAACTCCAGTTTTGGAAATTGCGGTGGGGCGTTGTGGCCCTGAAGATCGGCCGGCCTGTGTGATCATCCCACAGGCTCCGGGTGGACTCATTGCGGGACTTGTAGACTCCAGCCAGAATCAGAACCCGATGGACGCCTCCACATCCGTCGCATCAATGTTAATCCAGTTTTTCTGGGACCTTCTCAGTTTTACCATCTCCTCCGTGAACAGCAGCTGGAATGCGGACTTTGGGTCCTCGATGCGAGCTGTTCCGTAGTGTGTCGGGTCGCCTTGGCAGGCACGTAGCGTCTCGGCGTTAGCGGGTGACAAGTGGAGTCCATTTTTTGATGTCCACATAGGATCGGCTGTCTCCTCTGTGTTATCCAGCTCCTCACTTTGAGTTGAGTCAGATGAGGAATCCGACGTCACGTGAAACTCCACATCATCTGTGGCGCTCTCGGTTACACTACCACTCCAGCTCGCCGTCAGTCTGATGGATCAGTAACGTAATCCACAGCTTCGGGGGCCGTGTAGGTTTTCTTCATGTTGTCGGGTGTGAAATGGCGGCACCGAAGAGGCGCATAGCTTTATAACTTTTGCTTCAACCGCACCTGTATAAACGCAAATATTCTAATCCAAAACAAAGGCAGACTTTGTTTTGGATTCTTTGTGTTGCCGCAAGATGCAAGATTTTATTATTGTCTAAGGACTGACTGCTGTGTTTTTGCCTCTACGTAGGTGAGAAATGTTCTAAAGTCTTTGAACCATAGACTGCACAAAAAAAAAGTAACCTGCAGGATATTTGTGTGATTTTGTCACCTAAACACCACGTTTGACATTTAGGCCCTACACACATGGCTCTCAGACATCCACACATACTCAGTCATTTTAGATCATTGAGCCATAAAATGCTTTATAACACAGTCAACCTATGTAGTGGCGCCATCTGGTGGAAATTTAATGTTTTCCTTCAAAATGAAAGGATGTTTCGACACAAGTCATGATTCATGTATTGGTGACGGCTCGAGCCGTAAACGACGTTTTAATGGGTTTAAATGTCCTTATTGTTTTGTCCTTATTGCACAGACGTCGATATTTGATCTACACAGTGTGTGTTATTCCTATTCTGCAACATGGGATCAAAATTTAAAAAAAGTTTTCGATAAGGAACAAAAATGTCCTAATGCAGCATTAAATCAGCAATGAATTTAAATACAACTAACAACAGATCCAAAACGGCAGCGATTAAATGATATGAATATTTTCTCCATGAAATAGATAATTATGGATTTTAACCCAACCTGGAAAAAAAACACGTATAAAGTAGAAACAGTCTGTTTTATTGAGGACTTCTCCTCTAGCAGCAAACATGTGAACACAACGGGACGCTGACAGCATGAATACAACATGTTTGCTCAGACTCTTTAAGGATCGTCGGGTGAAGACATTCACTTCTGCAGCTGCCAGTTTTCTGTCCAGGATTTATTTAAGTTTAAAATCATGGAGGGTAGTGACATCACTTCCTGTGGGCGGGGCAATCTCAGCTGTTTCCTCACTCTCTTTACTGCAACATGAGTACTTCTACTGCAACAATGCTGCTGATAATACTCACATACTTTTACTGTCGGAAGGTTTGAATGCAGGACTTTTACTTGTGGAGTATTTGTACTTCTACTGCAGTAAAGGATCTCTCTCTGACCCATGTGACTGTGGACATCAGAGAATATTGTATTTGGTTTCTTTTGCTCACTGAAATAAAGGCTTTTGTAGACAGGGCTGGGCGATACGGCCAAAAATGTTATCACGGTAAAAACATTTCACATCATTCGATATCGATAATTATCAGAATATCAAACCGTTTTTTCGTTCAAGTTTAAAAGCTGATTTTTGCCCCTGACTGAAAACTGAAGAAACCAGATGGTTCATTATGTGGTTAAATTTTTCTTTAATGGGACAAACACTTGATGCCAAACAGAGGATCACTTCACAAATCTGAGGCAGAACAGTCAAAACTAGTATGATAATTATTTTTAAACAAATCTGATGAGTAAATCTTTTTCCTCAACAAAATAAATTATGTGATAATTTCTTTGTGATTCATATGAATTAAACCAAATATTTATTGAACATGTGTTATTTTATTTTTTATTGCCCAGCCCTCTTTGTAGATCTGTCAAAGGTATTGATAAAGTATCGAGTTGCGGTAATTGGTGATAAAGGGACATGTTTTCACTTCATGGTTAATATTTAAGTTCTTAACATTGGCTGATTACTTTTGACATTATTTCTTGGTATCAGGTAGAAATCTCCTCATACTTGATGATGATTTAAGGCTGGAAAGGTTTTGAAAAAAGTCTGTAGAGTATGATGTGAAGGCTGCAGCAAGATATTTAATTTGAAAAGCTAGATTGACACATAAAGCCTTCTGCACCTCCTGCGATTTATAAAGCCATATTGCGATATTGATAAGATTTGGAATAATTGTTCCGCCCTGTTATGATTATGTCTTTCTCACTTATTCTCTTCCACTAATGAGCTGATCACAGAGTTCAGCTACGCGTCCTCCATCTCTACCCGGAAAAGGCAAATACAAACTTCTTCCTTCAGCAGGAGAGGTCAGATAAATGTTACAGCATCTTTTACATCATTCGTCTTTGGCGTAAGGTCACGAACACTCGTTACATTCCTGACTGTCTCCGATAGAAATCTCAAGGCGGGTTAGAAAAATAAAAACCTGATCCAGCACTCCTTCCAGTTCACGTCCAGCCTGAAGTCCAACAAGAATCTCATCGTTAGAAAATCCAGAACGCGTTTATCACGTCAGCGAAGGAGCTTCCTTCGATCCAGCAACAAGAATTTTAAGATTTTAGAGCAAAGCTAAAATACAATCCCTGCGGCAAAAACAAGTCTGAGATTTCAAGAATAAAGTCCAAATATTTATAATTTTAAAACTCAAAGATCGTAGAGAACAAAGCTGGAATATTTTGGTTGTAATCTTCTGATTATAAAGTTGTAATGTTGTCACTTTTTGAAAGTACTTTATCGACATGTTACAACTTTATTCTGAAAAAATAAAATATAAATATTTATATATTGTTTTCTCCAATTTTTCAACTTCATTTTAAAAATCTCAGACAGGTTTCGGCCGCCACTTGGTCCGACAGCTGTTCATCTTCTACGTCCTTAATCTCAAGTCTTAACTTCGACTGTTCACGTGTTTCAGATCTCCGAACTCCGACTCCACGAAAAAGATTTGCAGGACTGAAGAAAAAAAGAAAATATGTTATTTTGCTAAAACATCTGGAGCCTAAAAAAGATTTCTCATTTCCAGAGGAGCCTGTTCCGGGTCCTGCAGAGGGCCCTGGACCACAGTTTGGGAACCACTGTGCTAATTAGTCTTTACTTTGAGAAACACAGGTTTGATTCCCGTCCCAGGTTCCTCGAGCAAGGCACTGACCCCCTGCTGGCTCCAGGGGGCGCCGCATCGTCGACACCAAGACACTTTAATGTGACATCATCTCCGGCAGCCGTCGGTCGAAGTTCGGCGCTGCTGAGCAAGGCACTGAGCTTTTATTTACAGGGTTCAGAGAGAAATCCGATGACCGAGTGCAAACTGGATAATTAAGTCATCATCATCTTCGTCACTGACGTTCGAGAGTTTGTCAGACAAACTCACGTCCTCCACGCCGAGTTACAGCGGGGACGAGTCGACTTTGTGAGGGTTTGCGGGTCGAAGCGGAGGAGCAGGAGGAGGTCGTCTGCAGAGACAGGAGACAAACATCAGAGAGTATCTTTAGGTTTCAGACTGCAGGTGGGAAAGAACAAGGCGTTACATATGACTGACCCAATAATCAGCTGATTGTTTATGTCTGCCTTGAAACTGGTCGCTGTAAACGGTCACGCTCAGTTTGTAGCTCAGCTATCACAGATTTTTTAACCTGCCAAACGTTAACGTCAGCATCAGCCTCAAAAATACAAAACAGGGGAGGTGCTCAGCAGATAAAGTGCAGTTTAAAGATGTGTATAAAATATAAAAACCTTAGGCCGGTGTAGTTGCATTATGTCATCTCATTTAAAATGATTCGTCATTTTTTATTCATATAATTGGTTATGAAAATGAACAGAAAAACTAAATTGGTGGATTTTTGTTTTTGATTTGGCAGAAACGAGCTTCCGTAGGGAGCTCCTCTTACTCTTCTTGCTCCTTTAGTTGCAAATGAAATGTTATTTTATTCCTGTCTTAATGGGGAAAAAGTCTCAGAGCTTTTGGGTCATTCTGGAATTTATCTGTGACGTTATTTTACAGCTTTGTCCAACAAACAAACGCAAACATCTGAATCTCAGCGGGACAGCAAACCTGCTGGGACCGGCTGCAGGTGCGACGGCTCCGTGGTGCGGCGGTTTGGTGTTGGCGGGGTAGCCGGGGTGAGGGGGGATGTGGGGGTGGCACGGCGGGGGCAGGAGGCGGGGCTTGATGGGCACCACAGGTTTGGATGGAACAGAGACCTGAGGAGAGAATCATGGGAAAAAAAAAACATGAACCTCTGAAACAGAAAGCTGCGTTCAAGTTTCCTGCCAACAGTAAAGTTTTTACTAATTTCACAGCAACATAAACACAAGTTAAAGTTTGTGCTCATTTTCTAATTGATAAATTTCAATGACCAGTTCAAATTTAGAAACCCTGCGTCGCTTCATTAGCAGGTGTACTGAGAGTGAAACGCTCATGTCTCACTCGCCGCTCTGCTGCTTTCATCAGTTAAACTCAACACGGCTGCTAACTACGTTCCAAATTTAAAGTCTACAATCTTTCGTAGTGAACCTTTAAAGTGAAACGTCTGCAGGGAGAACTGATGTTCAAGAAAAAGCTCCACCGTGGAACTGAATGGAATGAATAGGTGAAAACTGAGCGGAGCGCCGAGTGCGACAGGACGTGATGGAGTTACAGGTAACGGGTCAGAAATGATAGTTCAGGTAACTCCATCCCTCTCAGTGCAACCAGCAACTGGCACGTCTGATGTTCACTCCTGTTCCTGAACGCCCCACGCCTGCCAGGGCTCATCTCCAAATCAGTCACCTCTGATTGGCTCCTGATTCAACCAGTTAAATCACCAGATCTCAATAATCAATAGTCTGATCACGACTCTGTCTACATGCTACCTGCTGCCAGGTGTGGTGTACCTGTCCAGGTGTGACGGGGTCAGGTGGGAGTGGCTTGTTGGGTGGCGCTGGTCGGCTCACCAGCAGCTGGAAGGTTAGTGAGGAGGAGAGAAGCTTCAGAACACTTCCTGTTTAGTAAAGTCAGGAAACAGGAAGCAGCGTGCGGCGACAGCGTCTATTCTACGTCTCCTGCTCGTTCAAACATCAATGAAACTAAACTTTTATTATCATTATTATTGTTATCAGTGCTGCATGCAGACAGAAACAGAACAGACTGAACATCTTGCAGTAAAGTCCCGGCCACACCAGATTACACACAGCTGCTGGAAAACTGAGCTCCTTATGACTCGACCAGTGAAACGATTTCATGATAAAATCGCCACGGCGACCACCATCAGCGCCTCTGTCAGGCCTGACATGACTCACCTATGAAGCCTCACAGTAATCCGGCGGTCGATTATTATTAATTTGTCCTTTTTTGCGCTCCTACATTTCTTTACGGCTCTCTGCGACCACGTTTCGTTCCGTCGGTTGCAGGCTGCATATCATCAGGGAGCGTTTCAGAAACAGGGCGTTTTGTCTGACTTCCTGCCGGGCTCGATCTGCTCTTGCGTCCAGAATAGACCTGGTACCTCTCTGCGGAGCGGAGACACGCTTCTCGTCTGGTGGACTCACAAGCATCGACTATAACGGCTGCGATTAGCTCCGGCAACCGCGGCGCAGCCGGAGTCAGTGGACTTGAGGTGTCAGACGTATCTAATATGTAATTAAAACCGGAATAACTTGAGTTTGGATGTAAACTGAAATCTGACCTTTCAATGGACACATGATTCGACCCAACAGGAGCTCACGTGTCCCGTCCACAGCCTACAGTAGCCAACCATGCCCGAGCTGTAGGAAGGGCCAGCGCCTGTCATTTCGTGAGTAGGCAGAGCCAATTGCCTCGCTTCGCTAAGCCACGCCCCAAATACACTTCTGGCCAATCACAGCCCAGTATAGGTCTCACTCTGAGCTCCGACTCTTTCATGGCTGCGCTCCAGTGACTCGAATGCAGAAAGAGTTGTTTTCTAGCTTTTTCTGGCTGTATGTTTCTAAGATCTGGTCAAACGCTGCTCCTGGAGCATCTTGTAATAATTACAGCAGCTACCAGAGAGTCTGGAAGGAGAAGGACGATTTATTCTCTTTCCAAAACCTGAAACAAATCCAGAAAAATGTCGGCTTATTCCTAATGTGATGTTAGTTAGCTAACGCTGGCTAACTTCCTACTGAATGCAACGTTATATAAACCCACTGCTTTTGCATTTTAATGATTAGTGAATAGAGCAGCTGTACAGGAACAGCGTTGATCCTTAATATCGTTGTCGGCGATGCGCTGGTTCACTTGTACTGTGTGATCGGTAGATTTTAGCTTCTATCTTTCATTTTTTCCCGACCGTTTGAGTCAGTTTGACAGCCTGAATTAAACCTTCTAATGTTTAATGCAACTTACATCATTATGAAGAACCAATGGGCTCGCAGCAGAGAGCCACAGACAGGAAGTCAGACTGGACTGAGGGACGCAGTTTGTGAACCATGACAAAAACTGATTTTCACAGTGCTGGTTTCTGGTGTGACCGGGTCCTGATAAAGAACTGTTGCTGAGCTCCTCCAGCCAGCAGGTGGAGCTGCAGCCTACACAGCCACACTACAGGTAACACAGCCACACTACAGGTAACACAGCCACACTACAGGTAACACTGCCACACTACAGGTAACACTGCCACACTACAGGTAACACTGCAGGTAACACTGCCACACTACAGGTAACACAGCAGGTAACACTACCACACTACAGGTAACACTACAGGTAACACAGCCACACTACAGGTAACACTGCCACACTACAGGTAACACTGCCACACTACAGGTAACACTACAGGTAACACTGCCACACTACAGGTAACACAGCCACACTACAGGTAACACTACAGGTAACACAGCCACACTACAGGTAACACTACAGGTAACACAGCCACACTACAGGTAACACTACAGGTAACACAGCCACACTACAGGTAACACTACAGGTAACACTGCCACACTACAGGTAACACTACAGGTAACACAGCCACACTACAGGTAACACAGCAGGTAACACAGCCACACTACAGGTAACACAGCCACACTACAGGTAACACAGCCACACTACAGGTAACACAGCCACACTACAGGTAACACAGCAGGTAACACTACCACACTACAGGTAACACTACCACACTACAGGTAACACAGCCACACTACAGGTAACACAGCAGGTAACACTACCACACTACAGGTAACACAGCCACACTACCACACTACAGGTAACACAGCCACACTACAGGTAACACTGCCACACTACAGGTAACACTGCCACACTACAGGTAACACTGCCACACTACAGGTAACACTGCCACACTACAGGTAACACAGCAGGTAACACTACCACACTACCACACTACAGGTAACACTACCACACTACAGGTAACACTGCCACACTACAGGTAACACAGCAGGTAACACTACCACACTACAGGTAACACTGCCACACTACAGGTAACACTGCCACACTACAGGTAACACAGCAGGTAACACTACCACACTACAGGTAACACAGCAGGTAACACTACCACACTACAGGTAACACTACCACACTACCACACTACAGGTAACACTACCACACTACAGGTAACACTGCCACACTACAGGTAACACAGCAGGTAACACTACCACACTACAGGTAACACAGCAGGTAACACTGCCACACTACAGGTAACACTGCCACACTACAGGTAACACAGCAGGTAACACTACCACACTACAGGTAACACTGCAGGTAACACTACCACACTACAGGTAACACAGCCACACTACAGGTAACACAGCAGGTAACACTACCACACTACAGGTAACACTACCACACTACAGGTAACACAGCCACACTACAGGTAACACAGCAGGTAACACTACCACACTACAGGTAACACAGCCAGTAACACTACCACACTACAGGTAACACAGCCACACTACAGGTAACACAGCCACACTACAGGTAACACAGCAGGTAACACTACCACACTACAGGTAACACTGCAGGTAACACTACCACACTACAGGTAACACAGCCACACTACAGGTAACACAGCAGGTAACACTACCACACTACAGGTAACACAGCAGGTAACACTACCACACTACAGGTAACACTGCAGGTAACACTACCACACTACAGGTAACACTGCAGGTAACACTACCACACTACAGGTAACACAGCCACACTACAGGTAACACAGCAGGTAACACAGCCACACTACAGGTAACACAGCAGGTAACACTGCCACATTACAGGTAACACAGCAGGTAACACTGCCACATTACAGGTAACACAGCAGGTAACACTGCCACACTACAGGTAACACTACAGGTAACACAGCCACACTACAGGTAACACAGCCACACTACAAGTAACACTACAGGTAACACAGCCACACTACAGGTAACACTACAGGTAACACAGCCACACTACAGGTAACACTACAGGTAACACAGCCACACTACAGGTAACACTACAGGTAACACAGCCACACTACAGGTAACACTACAGGTAACACAGCCACACTACAGGTAACACAGCCACACTACAGGTAACACTACAGGTAACACTACCACACTACAGGTAACACTGCCACACTACAGTAACACAGCAGGTAACACTGCCACACTACAGGTAACACTGCCACACTACAGGTAACACTGCCACACTACAGGTAACACTGCCACACTACAGGTAACACAGCAGGTAACACTACCACACTACAGGTAACACTGCCACATTACAGGTAACACAGCAGGTAACACTACCACACTACAGGTAACACTACAGGTAACACTGCCACACTACAGGTAACACAGCAGGTAACACTGCCACATTACAGGTAACACTGCCACACTACAGGTAACACAGCAGGTAACACTGCCACATTACAGGTAACACTGCCACACTACAGGTAACACAGCAGGTAACACTGCCACATTACAGGTAACACTGCCACACTACAGGTAACACAGCAGGTAACACTGCCACATTACAGGTAACACAGCAGGTAACACTGCCACATTACAGGTAACACAGCAGGTAACACTGCCACACTACAGGTAACACTGCCACACTACAGGTAACACAGCAGGTAACACTGCCACACTACAGGTAACACTGCCACACTACAGGTAACACAGCAGGTAACACTGCCACACTACAGGTAACACAGCAGGTAACACTACCACACTACAGGTAACACTGCCACACTACAGGTAACACAGCAGGTAACACTACCACACTACAGGTAACACTGCCACACTACCACACTACAGGTAACACTGCACACTACAGGTAACACTACCACACTACAGGTAACACTACCACACTACAGGTAACACTACCACACTACAGGTAACACTGCCACACTACAGGTAACACAGCAGGTAACACTGCCACACTACAGGTAACACTGCCACACTACAGGTAACACTACAGGTAACACAGCAGGTAACACTGCCACACTACAGGTAACACTACAGGTAACACTGCCACACTACAGGTAACACTGCCACACTACAGGTAACACAGCAGGTAACACTACAGGTAACACTACAGGTAACACAGCCACACTACAGGTAACACAGCCACACTACAGGTAACACAGCCACACTACAGGTAACACAGCCACACTACAGGTAACACAGCCACACTACAGGTAACACAGCCACACTACAGGTAACACTGCCACACTACAGGTAACACTGCCACACTACAGGTAACACTGCCACACTACAGGTAACACAGCAGGTAACACTGCCACACTACAGGTAACACAGCAGGTAACACTGCCACACTACAGGTAACACTGCCACACTACAGGTAACACAGCAGGTAACACTGCCACACTACAGGTAACACTGCCACACTACAGGTAACACTACAGGTAACACTGCCACACTACAGGTAACACTGCCACACTACAGGTAACACTGCCACACTACAGGTAACACTACAGGTAACACTACAGGTA